GGGAGTGTAGAAGATGGAGATTAGAGCATAGCTTCCTTGAACAGGTCAAGACACACCTCAGCTTTAAAATGGTTTCTTGTCTGAATACTTTAGGAGTCTAGAAGATGGAGATTAGAGCATAACTTCCCTGAACAGGCGAGGATGCATCTCAGCTTTTTCAGTAAATCTTTTTTTTAAAAGTACAAGTTTGTTTGGGTGCAAAAACTGCTTTAAATTCATGCCTAATTTTTGATAATACCCATTTTTTATAAACTTTTAAAGACCCCTGGCATGTGGAAAGTGATTTCTATGACAGAGGTAATTTCTCATTTACTAGGAGTAGGGAACTTTTCTCCCAGAATGTTATCAACTTAGAAGTGTTAGAGTGTAAGTTTAATAATATTTTGGATAACTAGAAAGGAGGAAATAACCCATGAGTCATGAAAAACCTGAAAAGATTATTCTGATGTTTGTTTATCTTTGAACTAAATTTGCAGGGAAATAAAATCACTCTGGCAGTTAAAACTGCACACTCACATTCTTTTGTATGAATTAATTATACTTAACTGCTCTGTAATGTCCTGATTAATTATTTCCTGTTCCAGTCGGTTGATTGTGCATTTTGATATGAAACCTGCATCACGATGAGAATCTTGGACCTATTTCTCCTTTTCGCTCAGGGCCCCTGTAGAGCTCATCTGAACAACCAGCTTCAAAAGAAGCCAGCATCTTCATCAATGCCCCAGGTGGGCTGTGTCAGACACAGACAGTGACAGTGGAACTGTATTTTTGGCCCAGGGCATGGAGTCACCATTTACGCATAGGCTGCAATGAGCTGCTCTATTTATGAGAAATAGAATTCCCAGCCCTGCAAGAACACTGGTGCCTTGTCTTCCACCAAAAGGCTCTCTGATGAGTGTAGGCTGATTAGGACTCTTGGAGAGTAGAGTGAATGTCGCTGCGTAGATCCTAAGACAGAGAGGCCGTGCGTATCAGGTTCTTATTGTAAATGATTATCCCTGAATTTAGAGGTGTAAATTATTATCTTAGGTTTTGTATGTCAGAAGTCCTAAAATCCAAATGTCAGCAGGGCTGACAGGCTCTGGGATAGAATCTGTTCTCCTGCCCTTTCCAGCTCATAGAGGCCATCACAATCCCTGGTTCATGGTTCCATCCTCAGTCCTCAAAACCAGTGGAAGAGTATCTCCCAATCTCCAACTTCTTCTTCCATCTCCACATCTTCTCTCATTCTTGTGCCTCCCTGTGTCCCTCATAAGGGCCCTTGTGATTATGTTAGGCCCAGATAATCCGCCATCATGTCCCCACGTCAAGATCTTTATCTTAGTCACATCAGCAACGTCTCTTTTGCTGAGTAAAGTAACATGGTCACAGGTTCTAAAGATTAGGATGTGGACGTCTTTAGAGGAGTAGTTATTCTGCCCACCACACTGAGTACCTAGGACCAGTGTGGATAAAGCCAGAGCCTGGGGATGCTGCCACCCAAGGGCAGAGTAGTGTTTTGTCAGGCCTGTACAGACCTGCATCAGCATAAGGTGGCAGAAAGACTGTAGGTGTGATTTCTATCTTGACAAGATGACTTGAATGAGGCCCCCCAAAGCTTCCTGCATTTTACCTAGTTATAAGCTGTTTTGCATTCAGCTTTCCCTAAGATCATAGAGCTGTTACTGACAACCCAAGATACCAAAATTGCTTGAGGTGTGGGAGGACTGGAAACAGCAAAAAGTTGTCACCAAGAAGTTGAACAGTGGAGAGTTCCTAGAATCAAATGATTAAAATCAATTATCAGTTTCATAAAGTTATGCAGTAAATGGGATAATCCCAGGCTGCAGTTAGTACTCAATGCATTTAAAAGATGAGAATCAGGAGGATTAATGAGCTTTGGAGGGTTACTGAGCTATGGAACAGATGAGTTCAAAGAAGTCATAGTGGGCAGAGCCCCTTACATTGTCCCTTTCTGCTAACAAGCCCACTGAGCCTGTCTGTAGCAAGAGATGGATGCATCACGTATGCACCTGTGATCTGTACATCTTCAGGTCATATAACTAACTACTCTTTCCTTTTACTCCAGGTTCACCATGAAATCCCGGGATAATTGGTTTTCCCAGGGAGCCACCCCCCCCCATATTGGGAGAGGATGGGCTGTCAATCTCTGTTCTACTTGACAGATTGCCTGTTTCTTATAGAAATTAACACACAGGCATGCTGGCTTGCATATATTCATGCCTTGGGAGTTTAGCATGAGTCAGCACCTCAAAGCTGTCAATCTCTGGTCTGTGTGACAGATACATACTCTAATTTCTCATGAAAATTAACTAACGGCTAAGTGGGCTTATGTTTTTTAATGCTTTATGAGTTTAGTTAGCATGAGTCAGTATCAACTCCAATAAGCTCACAGGTCCCTGCAAGACCTGTGTTGTATGGATTCCCTTAGATTCTTTCTAACCAAAAAAGTCCAACCCTCATTCCTTGCCTATCTGCAGGGGTCCATTCACACTGAGTACAACATAAGAGGCCTCTCCTCAAGTTATGCCACCCTGCAGTGCTGTAGCCCTGCTCCATGTAACTCCTGAGTATTTTCTGGGGCTCCACTTAACATATTTCTTCTTGGAAAACCTCCCACATCACCCCTCGGGTCCTCTAGACTTCCTTGGTTTATGCCCTAAGAATACTGCACTTACCTTTCTTGCATTTGTAACCCACTAAGAAGAGAACTGGGTTTATTTTACTCAATATTTTGAACAAGGCTTGACTCAAAGTCAGTGCTCAGTACATATCTGTTGAGCAAGTAAATAAATGGACACTGTCTCGACCTTCCTTCATTCCCCTTTTTCAACCACTAGAGAGTAGAAAATGGATGGTAACACAACAGAAGATTCAAGAGTAGATATTATAAATTAAGGGAAAGGTCACATTCAAGATAAGACAAAGGATGCTTTGTGAAGTTAACAGGAGGCTGTCTTCCCAGGAGCAATAGAGAGACAGCCCATGAGAACAGACTGTGACAGGGCAATGCTGTGGCAGGGACAGGGCGGCAATGAGGCATCTCTAACAAACAGCTGGACATTTCTATTTGAATGTCCTGACACTACTGCAACTCAATATGTCCCAAAGCAAGTTCTTTTTTTTTTATTTTTAGTCTTTACTCCCAAGGGTCCCTATGTCTAGGTGTAGCCCAGATCTCTAACTTAGAATTATCTGGGATTTTCCTCTATAAAAGTTCATAAATCAACAACTCATAAATGTGCATAATGCTTGCCATAATTCCAAGTCCCCTCCTGTTATACACCTGGGTGTAGCAATAGCAGTTGGCTTCTAGGTTCTGTTCTCTTGCTTTCTCCTTGTGTCTTGAAAACTTTGCTTAAAAAGAAAATACAATTTTATAACTTTAACTCCATTTTCTCCCCCCATTTTGAAATGTTTTCAGGGATTCTAAGACACAACACTGGCAGCCCACTGGTTTCTGAGGCCTTGCACATTTATAGTGTTATTTATTTCCTAGTGTTGCATATTCTAAACCTTGCTCTTCTATTTCCAAGCTAATTCTCTCCTTCTCCACTAGGGCAGGCAAATTATATCTCTCTTCTTCTAAATCTCCTCTGCACTTTGGCCTTTATACTTTTCTTTAGATTGGATGGGCTGTCCTTCCGTCTCTTT